ATTACATAACACTTACACATGCACTTACACTGCTCACAGAGCCCGTTAAACCAGTTACACATTCTACTAAGATTAGCTCAAGGCCAGTACACGACAACCTAGCCAGAACTGAGTTTCACATGATTGGATTCACACATACCATAACATAGACATACATTATCAAGCAGAGACACCACAGACGTCTAGATACTTACACAAGAACTAGAACAATGACATTTTTTTTATTCAGGAACACAGACACAAGATTTTATGTTTTTGTAAACTGTGCTGTCCCATTTTGTATTTGATTTACATGATTGATGTTAGGGATAGAATAGAGTAGTAAGATAGATAGTTGTTGATGTATTAGATTAGTAGCAGACGCTGAAAAATATAATTTGTCAGCTACAGAAAGGGAGGGAGATATGTGATGACGCAAGGTTGCGTCGAGCTCAGGTAGATAGCAGAAGCAGGCTATATCAAGTTGGTCAGACTAGTCAGAGAGAGAGACCAATAAAAATACGTGAACTGACCGGTCACGTGGGACGGTCAGCTGACCACTGAAGCGTGGGCCACTGTTAGGCCGGGAGATCACGATTAGCTAGCGAGGGCAGAAGGTGTTAGGTTGTAGAATGGAGCAGACGTAGTTATGTAGAGAACAGTTAGAATGTAGATAGTGGTAGGATTGGTCATGGAAGGGCGTGTTAGTAGAGTTAGTAATAGTAGTGGTAATAGATATTATTTAACAGGCTAGTTAGATAGGACATTGATTTATAATTTTAATAAAGAACTTTGTACTTGGAACTTGAACTGTGTGTTATTGGATTCATTCGTTTCGCATCTTAAAAATCCCCACCCTCACAACTGGTGCAACAACAAGAAGAACTACAAACAAAGATTCATTTCGTACCATCACAACTGGTGGTAAACCTCTTCAAAACACCTGTACCCTCACAACTGGTGGAGCTGCGGGTCGAGGACAGGAAAGACAGTATATCAGTTTACTCATGACGGAGTACATCTGGTGTACAGCTTTCTTCAACTCAACACAACAGCGGGTTTCTTCAACCGGAACGAGTGGATTACCAATACAAGGGAACAGTCACCATGTTCAAAAAGATAAGTACCTTCCATCATTTTTTTTAAACGTTTGGGTTTATACCCGTGCTGGATAGTTTGTGCCAGCGGTTTTTCTGCCTTACACATTCTATTGTTACGCACTGTTGCCTTAGTTATTTTGCCTTTCCTCAACACACACACATACACATACACAACCATGGAGGCAGAGTTTCAATGCTATAAAAACAGGGCATACCATTAGACAAAACAGGAGAAGAAGTTGACACATTTGTAGAGAATAAGTTAGAAAACAAGATAGTCAAGATAGTAAGACATGTCAAGAACAAAAGCAGAGTTAGCGATAGAATTAGTGAAACTGGAAGTACAGCACATAGATAACACGCAACTGCCCTAGAACATCAACCTCATGATCAAGAATGTGACCCGGACCTTCCCCATAAATGATTTTGAACAACGGACATAATTGTGAAGTCAAGTCGAGTTTTTGTGTTGATCTAAGTAGTCGAAAAAATCGGCATGAGGTCGATATAGTTGAAGTCGAAGTCAGTGTAGTCAATCTGAAGTCAATAGTGTTATTGAAGTCAGTGAAGTATAAGTCAGAACTGAAGTCAAAGAAGTTATTTGAAGTCAGTTAAGTCAGTCAATAAGTTATTGAAGTCGTAGTTGAGGTCATAGTGACGTAGTCATGTTGCAGTCAAAGAAAAATCTTTGAAGTTATATTAAAGTCGTTGAGGTCATAGTGAAGAAGTGAAATCGTCAAAGTTATAGTGAAGTCTTTGAAATCAAAGTGATGTCGTTGAAATCTTTGAAGTCAAAGTTAAAGTCTTTGAAGTTGAAGTCAGGTTAATCTAAGTCAGTCGTTGAAGTCTTTGAAGTCATATTGAAGTCGTTGAAGTCAAAGTGAATCCTTGAAGTCATATTGAAGTTGTTGAAGTCAAAGTGAATTATTTGAAGTCATATTGAAGTAGTTGAAGTCAAAGTGAAGTCTTTGAAGTCATATTGAAGTAGTTGAAGTCAAGGAAAAGTCTTTGAAGTCAAAATGAAGACGTTTAAGTCGTCGAAGTTTAGTCAGTCAGTGAAGTCTTTTAAGTTGAATTGAAGTGAAGTCGTCGAGGTCAAGTTAGTCTTCAAAGTGAAGTTAGTCGTCAAGTTGAAGTAATTGAAGTCGTCAAAGTGGAATCAGTCGTTAAATTGAAGTCAGTCACGTTACTGAAGTCAAAGTGAAATAAGTCAAGTTACTGAAGTCATAAGTGAAGTCAGTCAATTAAGTCAAGCCAGCCAGTTTTTTGTCAGAAGTCAGATAGTGAGAGCTGCTCCACTATATGATTACGTGTTGAAATATTGATTTGAAATGGCAGAATATTATTGATATACACTCTCATGTCTATTCTTTTTGTGAAGCTATTTCTAAGCTCTAGTAGTGTTTACGTCTATTGAGTTTATTAGGCTTTACAGATTGTTGTTAGATTAGAGTGTACTGATTTTTTATTTGGTTAATTTTGTAATGTTACTTTTGTATGCTGTATGTACCGCCAGACAAATGTTCAGCACGTTTAATGGGATTGAGGTTTTTTTTTAATGGAAGGTACCTCTGTCTGAATACTTGTCTGCGCGGGCACTAAATTGTTCACGTAAAGCCATTGCTTATAGTCTCGAAATACCATTTTCAGACCCACTACGCTTATTCAGAATGAGACGAGATGAAGCAGACACTTCAAAGAAGCCGCCACCTGAAGCCCTGATTACGTTGAATTACCTGGTCATCGAACAGCCCTGCTGAACAGAGAATTGCCCTGGTCAAGACAGCGGACACATCGCCACCGCTTCGCCCCACCCTGGAGTTGAATAACAGACCGCCAGCTACATACACCTACGTCGGCACATACAAAGGGTAGAAGACCCATCGTCCAAGTTCCCAGCGTCGGAATGTTACGTCATTGTTCGCCACCGCATCAGCCAGCTCCAGTTCATCGTATAACCACTCTACGTGGACATCTCAACCAGCGTTGAGTTTGTTGCGTCATCACATTGACCAACGAAAGTTACGCCTACACCCGCCTCACGGGAATTTACATCAAAACTCGCCACAACCCACCCACCACAGAGGAACGCAAGCAATTACATAACACTTACACATGCACTTACACTGCTCACAGAGCCCGTTAAACCAGTTACACATTCTACTAAGATTAGCTCAAGGCCAGTACACGACAACCTAGCCAGAACTGAGTTTCACATGATTGGATTCACACATACCATAACATAGACATACATTATCAAGCAGAGACACCACAGACGTCTAGATACTTACACAAGAACTAGAACAATGACATTTTTTTTATTCAGGAACACAGACACAAGATTTTATGTTTTTGTAAACTGTGCTGTCCCATTTTGTATTTGATTTACATGATTGATGTTAGGGATAGAATAGAGTAGTAAGATAGATAGTTGTTGATGTATTAGATTAGTAGCAGACGCTGAAAAATATAATTTGTCAGCTACAGAAAGGGAGGGAGATATGTGATGACGCAAGGTTGCGTCGAGCTCAGGTAGATAGCAGAAGCAGGCTATATCAAGTTGGTCAGACTAGTCAGAGAGAGAGAGAGACCAATAAAAATACGTGAACTGACCGGTCACGTGGGACGGTCAGCTGACCACTGAAGCGTGGGCCACTGTTAGGCCGGGAGATCATGATTAGCTAGCGAGGGCAGAAGGTGTTAGGTTGTAGAATGGAGCAGACGTAGTTATGTAGAGAACAGTTAGAATGTAGATAGTGGTAGGATTGGTCATGGAAGGGCGTGTTAGTAGAGTTAGTAATAGTAGTGGTAATAGATATTATTTAACAGGCTAGTTAGATAGGACATTGATTTATAATTTTAATAAAGAACTTTGTATTTGGAACTTGAACTGTGTGTTATTGGATTCATTCGTTTCGCATCTTAAAAATCCCCACCCTCACAACTGGTGCAACAACAAGAAGAACTACAAACAAAGATTCATTTCGTACCATCACAACTGGTGGTAAACCTCTTCAAAACACCTGTACCCTCACAATATATATATATATATGTATATATATATATAGCCTATATATATATAGCCTATATATATATATATATATATATATATATATATATATATATATATATATATATATATATATATATATATATATATATATATATATAAATTTTTTTCTTGGGTGGGGTGACACCCGACCTAGCGACGCCATTGAGTAGAGTTTATAATTATGTTTCTGTTACAGTGACATGCGAAGGTATGTGGTCAATTCACAGACCAACGACGTATTAAAACATATTTAATACATGCTCTTCGATTAAAGGCGAAGGGCTGAGATTTGTGAAAAAAAAATACATTACTTAAAGAATATTTTCTTTCATTAGATGAAGTTAGCTACTAAAGTGAAAATGAAACCTTTTAACGGAAATTCCCAAAAATAAAATACACACGAAACAAATAATTTAGGGATTTTCCGATATTATTTTTCATTCATTCTACAGTGTTTTACTTCAAATTCGAAATATTTTTCTTACTTATTTAAGGTAAACATATATTAATATATAGATCTATATACATTTATCACCTGTTTGATAACATCCAGTTACTAGCAAGTATGGTTATAAATTGGTCGTTGCAACAGGTTGAGATACACTATTACTTTTTATTAGAAAATCTTCTCCAAGAAAACATAAGGTTGTGTAAGACTAATGTAAGACATATTGATTATTGATACAGACGATGTTTATGTCTAATTTGGGCTCCGTTTTATTAAAACAACTTCCACTATTAACTGTTTATCTCTTTAATTTTTTTCCTATTTTTTATACTAGCTTACAAAAATTTGCCACTAGAACTGTTCGACAAACAATTCTCGTTGACATTTTTTTACAAGCTTTTATTTAACTCACTTCCTCGTCAGCCGTCAGTCGTTAGTCTGTCGTCAGTCTGTCTAGATCGAAACACGGGAGCGAAATTGCAGGCACTTCTACTTGACAGATAAGGTTCTTAATTTGTACTTGGGTCAAGACATGAAGACAATGCATCGTGACATTAAATTAAATTTAAATTATTGAAAGAAATGAAATATTTTTCTAATGTTAAAGTTAAATTATTCAAAGAAATCAAATATATTTCTAATGTAAAACATAAACTTTTGAAAGAAATCAAATACTTTTCTAATGTTAAAGTTAAACTATTGAAAGAAATCATATATTTTTCTAATGTTAAAGTTACATTATTGTAAGAAATGAAATATTTTTCTATTTTTAGATGCGACCAAAGCTGCATGTCAGAGTTGTAACAGAGCAGACGAAATATTTGCTGGAACAGGTCAACATTGTAGAGCCTGTAATGGATCTTATAAAAGATGTAAGCACTATCATAGGAAAACAAATTTTTTGCTGGTTCATCCTTGTATAACCTGTAATGGTTCTTATAAAAGATGTAAGCACTATTATAGAAAAACAAAAATATTTTACTCTTGTTTTAGTCCAATATAACTTATAGTCGTGTCCACCAATAAAAAGTATTTTGTTAGCCCATTTACATCTTAGCAAAGAATTATCTGAAAACAGGTGGATGGTCAAAAGACCAAAAAAAAAGTAGCAACATTTTAAAAAGTTATAATGATTTTATAATTTAGGTGATTGTTTTAAACATGTTTTAAATTATTCAAAATGAATTTAATAATTTAATTTTAAATTATTTTAAGATTAAAAAAAGAATTTTCTATATACATGTTATGTTAAAGTATTTTAAATACTTTGTTTGATTTTCCGACAGGCAATAGAGAAAAGCAAGGCGTGGCTGGAAGATAAAGAAGGAAATCTCTCCACAAGCTACAGTGAGATATCTCAGCAACTAGACCAGGCGAATGTAGCACTCTTAAAAGCTGCCTCAGAGATAATAGGTAAACGCATGATTTAAGACGATTAATAGAATTTTTAAAAATTTGCCATATTAAACTCTATTGATATTAATCTTCATGAAATTTATTGAAAGTTAAACTTGTATATAATTTAGATCAGAGCAGTGACAAAGAATATGCTGGAAATTCAAAAACCTTGCCACAACGTGAAAATGAAATTAAACAAGTATTCGACCCAACACAACCATTCTACGAGCAAATTGACAATTTAACAAGTAGAACATTCTTGCCTTGTTATATATATATATATATATATATATATATATATATATATATATATATATATATATATATATATATATATATATATATATATATATATATATATATATATATAATATTTAATAGATATATATTTATAGACATTTATTAACATACATAATACATTACGATAGTTTGCAATACGTGTAATAGGTTTTAATACATTTCATCAATTACATTTCCTTTGTTTTTACATATCTAGGCCAGTATAGTCAGCTGATAAACAGATTTGATAAAACTGAAGAAGAGTTGTCATCGTTAAAAGAGCTGACTAGAAAACTAGAGGAAAAACAAAACAAAATGGAAAAGGAAATGTCGGATAACGAAAAGAATCAGGAAGAAAATTACAGACTTTTGAAAAACAAACAAGTAAAACTATCCAAGAATAGCAAAAATGTGGAGGTTCGAATAAACACACAAGAGAAACGACAAGAAGAGATTAATAAAATTATTGAAGAAATTCATTCTTCCTATTTAGAGGAAGTAAAGAAAGAAATATCTGAGGCAAGAAATTGTGTTTCTAATATGGAGAAACATATAGATTTACTCACAAGAAATGTATACGGGAAAGATTTATCCATTCAAGATTTATCAGCACAAGACAAGGACAGCGTCATGGAGCTATTCGAGAAAACAAGAGAAGCTTTTAGGAAGATGGACGAACAAAACACTAAATCTGCTGATAACTTTAAGACCCGGTGTGAAGATTTGGACAAGAAAATATCAAGTCAATCTAAATCATTGAATACAAAGGTATGTAGCGTATAATTAGATGTACAATTACTAAACGTATCAAGTTTTTAGTTAATATATTACACGGAATAAGTTTACAAAACATGTGGGTAACCTCAAGGTATGAACCGTAATAGCTAATTAGTTATAAAGTTAGCATTATCGTCATTTACAAATTTTGTCGAAATACTGTACTTTGTTATCATCAAAGATGTGTTTTAAAAGACGGGAAAAAATTGTAACCAAGGGTTTTCTGTGATTGAATAAAAAAAATCTAGAAGACCAATAATAATTTAACAGCTTCCGTGAATAGTTTGTCTCTTTTTATGTCATTTCACATGTTTTAAAAAAAAATTAAATGCATTAGTTAATTAAGTGGATTTGTTGAGTGTTTTAATAAAGTACACTGGCTATTTTCAAATGAAGCGGTATAACTACAACTAGATAACAGCTAGAACATAGACATAAAGGCTTTTTCATAAGCGTTCTAAATATGCTTAAAATATGAAAATGTTAATAATTATTTATAACAATATGATGTCAATATAAAATTGGTCTTCATACATGAGTTTTTTGAGAAACAATACATGAGTGAATGAGAACTACGTCAAGCTACATCGTGTGTATGTTTACACTTTATCTATTTGTTTCAATCAACCTAGTTGGGGGCCGTCTGTCAAATACTGTCTACACGCATCCAACCAATGGAGTCACTGGCTGATATCTTGAAGAACAGATTGACCACAAGAGTTGCCGATCTTAAGAAGGTTTCTAGCTTACGTTTTCTTAAATTATATATATATATATATATATATATATATATATATATATATATATATATATATATATATATTAGAATGGTGTAGAATTTAAGTATTTACATAAAATGCATATTTTAATGAGTAAATCCCTAAGTCATTTAAAAACTAACACATTTAAATTTAAGTAAGCTTATCTTTTAGAATAGAATATTAAAATATAGTTTTTGTTGTAACTATTTCAGATGGATGAGCTGTCGGAAAAATTGCAAGTAATTGGTAAATACATTAATATAATCTGAAACATGAATATAAAAGACTACAGCTTTGCTTTTTAAATTTTCTTACTAGCTCTTTCAACCCCCCAAAACGCTACTTGTTCAATGTATTTTCATTATAATGTTGTTAAAGAATTTAAACCACAACACCATAAAAACGCAAGCCTAATACTTCTTGAGACCTTATATTTTATAATTTAGATTTACTCAATCGAAATGTTTAAAGACAACAGTAACTCATTTTTTGACACAAAAAAGATAACAAAAATGGTGTTTTAGAACAGCCCGAAAACACTAAATCTGCTGATAACTTTTTGTGTTTAGCTGTAGAGCAGTAAATACATGACCAAATATACCGAAAGCCTCTCTGTGTTGGGTTCATGTGAATGAGTCAGGTGACAGAGATTACCCAGTGCTATTTCCTATATCAAACCTAAGAGAAAAAATTGTTATTTACCTGTGTTAGCTAATAATGTATTTTATACAATATAGGATAAATTTAACGATAACACACCAGCAATTGTTTTCAAATATGTTATTTATTGCATAGAACTATTTATTAATTTATACTATTTATGAGTATAAATGTACGGATCATTACTAATGTTTCTTCAGAAAAAAAAACATCATCTACCACTACGCTAACACTACTAACTCATTCAAAAATCACCTTCTGTAATAGCACCATAATTATCCCATTCTTAACGATCTTAACTTAATTCTTCTTCATTCTTGATGTAACAACAGCCTTGTTTCATTGCTAAAAACATCATTTTACATTTTTTGTTTAAAAAACATATTTTTTTTATGACAGCTAGTGAACAAATGAACCATCCTACAGTAAGTTTTATTGCTTCAGATGGACACATCATTGGTTCTCATGCAGTATATAAAAGTATCAAACGTAACATAGGAAACCATTTTAATCTAGATACTGGAGTATTTACCGTCCCTGTTGACGGTCTGTATGCTGTAGGTCTTAAAATAAAAATGAAAGGAGTTATAGTAGCAGCTGCTGTCTGTATCAAAACTGGTAATGAGTGTTTATGGACTTGTTTTCTTAATACAGAAAAATATATCAGCGTAGAAACAACAACTGTTCAGAGGTTGAAATCTGGAGCTATATTATATTCTCATTCTGGCAATGAAGATTGTATCTTTACAGAGTTTTCTTGCTTACTTCTTGGCGTCTAGGCGACTATACGGACGTATTATGTTTATATGGATAATACAATGTTTGTACAAATAATGTTTTACCATTACAATTCCAACACCCTGTTCATATCTGCTGTCTTGGCCACTGCAGTACATTTTGTGAATTTATAGTGTGGAGATCTCAACTATTCCATCGTATTTCGTAAACCTAGCTGTAACGGTACACAAGTTATCGTGGAAATCTCCACTATTTCATCGCATTTCATAACCTAGCTGTAACGGTACTTAGGTTATCGTGGAAATCTCAACTATTTCTTTGCATTTTACAAAATTTGCAGAAATTCCATGGGTTTGTTATCTCATAGGAAAATGATAGTTGTATTTGAGAAGCAATACAATGTCAAATAGAACTTAAAATAAGTAATTAATCAATAAATATATAATTTAAAAATTATTTAGAGTGCATAATCAAATATCAAAATGATATTCTGTTTAATAATGCAATGATAAAAGTTTATTGTTTAAACAATTGTTAAATATGTATTATTTTTGCAATGGTGTGATTATACTAATACTTGCGTGCGTTGGTTTTTAAAAATTGATTCTATTATTAAAAATAGCATACCAAAGGTATATTTTACATTATTGTTTAAAAATACGTTATTGTTTCATGCTGTTATTTAAAATAACGCTTGTAAGAAAAAAAAACAAATGTATTAAGTGTTGCCAATGAATGTGTAAGCTTTTTCATAATGTGTGTGAATGTAATGAATGTGTATGAATATGTATTATTATTTTTAAGTATTTACAATTGAATATGTGCTTGTCGTGTATGTTGTCCTATGTGTGTCACGCCTTGCTGCACACCAGCTGCGAGCAGTGGCGTCGCTAGGTCGGGTGTCACTCATTGCGGCACTTCGTGGTGTCACAATCCCAACTCTCTCTCTCTCTCTCTCTCTCTCTCTCTCTCTCTCTATATATATATATATATATATATATATATATATACATGAAAATAAATAAATATATGTGTGTGTGTCGACCTACATAGGCCTATAATTTAAACATATGCCGCATACGGGTACATGCATGTGCATATGCCTTAGTCACTGCAGACTTAATACTAACGATGTTTATTCATAGTCTGTTTATAATACAGTTGGATGTAGCATTGTTTTCTGTATAGTTAGCACGTTTACGTCATTGTGCACCCCACCCCCTTGTAAAAATTGTCGATTTATACTTAAACGAATAATTAACTTTAATTAAACATTAATGGAACTGGCAAAAAACATTATTCTTTTGTACATTTTGCAATTTTTTTTGCCTTGGTGTCACCCCTCAAAATGGTGTCACCCGGTGCTGTCCTCACCCCCCGCCCCGCCCTTGCTACGCCTCTGTCTGTGAGCCAGCGTGTTGACAACAAAAATAATCCGGATGTAAGTGGACCTTAGCACGATTTACCGAATAGACGGGTCTTTATGTTGTAATAAACAGCGTCCAGACAGCTATTGGTAAATTAATCAACTAACATTTCTAAGCCTATCAAAGCTGGGAGGACGGCTTTGGTATATGTACATTGAATTGCTTTTCGGTGCCTCATTTTTGACAATCCTCAAACTAAACACTTATCATGTTTTACTTGTCCAGTTTATACAAAACTAAGTGAAATCATTTATTTAAACAGTCATACTACTTATATATCATAGTATTATCGAATGTATAAGACGGCGTGGTCTAAGCGATAGAGCGCTAGGCTACTAACCCGAAAGTTTTGAGTTCGTATCAATGTCCTGGTCAGTAGAACGTCCCTGAGTCCACCCAGCTCTGATGGGTACCTGACTGATATTATTGGGAAAGTAAAGGCGGCTGACAAAAGTCCTGACCACACCTTCCCTTCATAAGCTGAGGTATAGAAACATATTAACTCATCTGCCCAATAAATCGCTAGATCTAAAGAGGATTCTTAACTTTTATTTAACAAAAAAAAATGAATTGTGTTAAGTCATTATTTTTTCAAGCAAATGAACATATTGATATTCATTGCATAAGTCTTATGGGTACTTTATAGTATGGGAGTAATTATTATGTTGATGATTTTCTGTATGCATGTTTTTAAATATGCATGAACGTTTTCTTACAACTCATAAACACTTTGGAAGTTAGATTGTATCAAGATGATTATTAAACAAATAATGCTTGATTTGTTTGAGGTTTTTATACATAACCTTATTTCTAGTAATTAATTGTGTCGGCCAGTATTTAAGGTCAAATCCATATTTTTAATATTCGTGTTGCTTAATATACATTCATGTATTCGTATTACATTTATAATCCCTATACGTGTTATTCTTATTTTATCAATTTTATTTAACGTTAAAATTATAGGACACATGGAATAAAATTAAAAATGTGAAATGCGTAGCTTTGTGGATAATTATCGAAGTTAAATCAAACAGTCACGATATATACACACATAACGACCACAATAGGACAAAAATGACTCTAGTGAAGAAGCTGCCAACAAAACAACTTTAAAGCAAATGTCAGCATTTTACAAGACATATCTTCGACAATATGGATTTCATTGATGTAGCTCGCAGCATAATATCTGAATACATGATGGTTGTTTATAGGAGATAACTTTTATATAAGGAAGAGCATTAAATTATGTATAATAGCATATAATAGCATATAAGTATATAATTGTGAAAAAATAAATTTTAACATAAACCAGAGTTTAACGTTCTTCGCGAGCTTAGAGCTTCTTATATTTATATGTTGTCTGTGTAAGATGTCACATAAAACCTTCATACTTGTTCACACATACACATGTATTATGTACTGAGATGTCTGAACCGGTGCCGGAAAGATGCGCAACGGAAAACTGCGCACAAAAAAGTGCGCAAGGGAATCATTTTTGTTTTCTTAAATCGAACATTTAAACACATTAAAAAAGAGTGAATACATGTAAAATGTAGAATAATAAAATATATTTAATCGGAAAAGGATAAATTAAAGTGCATTAGTATAATTACTTTGTATTTGGACAATTTTGTGTTTGCGCAGTATTTCGTTGCTCATTTTCTGATTGCGCATTTTTCTGGGAACCGTCTGAGCCACAATAAATTCCTCTAAAAACATTTGAATGATTTGCTGGATTATCTAGAAGAGATTCACATAAGAGATTCACATTGGTTTATAGAGCAATCTCACTGATTTTGTTCTACACGTAAGAAACTATCTTTTAGTCAATTTGAGAGAAATCGTTGTTTGACAAAGCTATGACGTCATCGTTACTAGTTTTATAATTTGTTGTTTTATCAAATCGAAAATAAATGAGTGGAATGAATCAAATCTAACACTTACAGAAGCTGTTGCCCTGGTAGCAAGCGCAAACTCCACACGCGCACACGTACACAAAGATATTGACAAAGGCAACAACTATGTACAAATAAAGCGTACATATTACACGACAGAACTACACATCTTTGAATAAATGACGCAACAGTCAAATATAACCGCCGAGTTCAGTCAACTGATCATCATCTTTTCCCGTTCTTGCGAAAGACACATAAGGCAGTAAGGTCAGCACTATGCCAAGCTGACTTTTTTTTTTCTAATTCAAGTTAAGTGGACTAAGGGCCATTCAACTGACTTGAACTCGAGACTTTCGGCTTGGTAGTCTAGCTCTCTACCTCTAGGCCACGCCGTCGCATCAACTAATAATGAAACAACTACTATTGTCTATTTACATGTGTCGCATCTATGTATGAAACTTGAGTAACATAAAGACAAAACAAAAAAACAAACAATTAAAACAGTTAACTGTTGTTGCTCGATAGTACATTCTTCTTACATCCAAAATAATTAAATTAAATGCGTTTGTTGACATTATTTATGTTTATATGCATTTTTAAAATAATTATGAAAAAAAAATCTTGACTGTATAGTCCAGGGGTCTCCAAACTTTTCAGTCCGAGGGCCGCATTAACTATCAAATTTCAGTTTGGGGGCCATCCTCTTCCGGGCATGTCCTTGATTTTTCTGGGCAAAGTTCCTCAGCCAGCACCAGCAAACGTTTTTTCCGTGGACAAAAAGATCTCCGCGGGCCGGATGAGAGGACATCGCGGGCCGCACCCGGCCCGCGGGCCGTAGTTTGGAGACCCCTGGTATAGTCAAAACATTTATCTACATACCAAGGAGGAAGCAAGAAAAATGTGTACAGTTAAATCCCATACCAAAACTCTCTAAATGTAAAACATCTCCAGTTTTCAACCAAGCCACGGATGTCCTTAAAGCCAGGTTAAACTTGTCTTTTGTCTCTACAGGACCCAGCCATGACTGTGTACATCCAGATTTGTGTTTTATCCAAACATGTACGGGCTTATCTCCCGTTTGTTTTACTGTAAGACTTGCTATGTACAGGCCATCAACAGGGGCGGTGAACTCTCCGGTGTTGGGGTTAAAATGGTTTCCTAGGTTACGCTCTACGCCGGTGTAAGAGAGTTTGTAGCCTTCTAATCCCATTTTGCGACGGTCTACCTGCCCACATGAAGCAACAAAACCTACTGTCAAACGTTTCGCTTGTTGAGTGGCTGAAAGATTTAAAACAGTTTCAGTGTTTAACGAAATAAAAAATAATATAATACTTGTCAACTGGATTATGGCAATAGTCAAATACCCTGATATTATATTTTACCGAACACAGCACCATATTACCAACAAATGTCAATAAACTCACATACGTGTCCATAATTCAAAATAGAAAACTGCAAAACTGCACAATTAAATATTATCGTTATACAAATATACATTTTAGAAAATATTTAGATCATTCAAATAGATGAAATTTTTTAATCTATTCGATTTTTTACGTTTGTTTTAGAAAATAAAAAAAAATGTTGTTTAGTTTGCAAAGCAACATTCTGCAGTATCCCATTATATACAAAATATTTCTCAACAAACATCATATGTTCTGTTTTTAAAATGCAAGTGCATTAATACATACGTACGTAATTATTTGTAAAAACAATATGACAGCAATATTGTCTTGTAATTTACACTATAACACAAAACAGAATTGAAAATGTGGCTATTACGATTGCACAATAAAAAACGCTGAATATTAAAGATGTATTGGTGATAAGCGCATCATACAACTAAATCTAATATGTGTAATGATGTGTATGATTTCACGTTCAGAAAATTACAAATCTCACAGTTATTTAGATCTGTAGCCAGGAGATGTTCGCAGATGATACAAATAATTTATCTAAACAGTCATTAGTTTTTTTTGTTGTAGACAAACCTACACATCCGGTTGGGTTTGAGGTATACATTTTTTTCCCCAGAGAAATCATCTCCGTTCGCTAATACAATTGTACTGTCACTCACTGATATGTCTTTGTTTTAAGTCTTTACATAGTTTCATTTCTGATGTAATTTAAATTAATTTTAACAGGTTTCTTTTTGAAAAAAAAATACTTTTTACTTACCCAGGATATGAAAGTCCTCCGATAACTTTGTAAAATCTTTTTCAAAAACTTCAAACTATGAAAAAAAGTAAATTCTACAGTTTTATTCAATTTGTTATATACTTCTATTATAAACATTTATATTTTACCCATTTTAGTGCTTTACTTTAACCTTCTCATTCGACAAAACTTTTAGGTTAATTATTATCTTCCCCGAAAAAAAGCGAATTATTATCTATTATCAGCTGTTTAGTTATCCTAAATTGTAACCTAATTGTTTACCTTTTTATGCTTTAATTCTCTGTTCTCACAGTTGTGATGACAAATTTGAAGCAATCTGTCAATGGGAGACAATCTTTGTTGCAGGAGTTTACACATCACAGCTTGCTGGATAGAAAAACAAGTAAAACATTTTAACCGATTCGTAGTTAAAATAGTTGGCCATTTTAAAAACACTGTAAATTGAATTTTTGGGAAATGATACATTTTATACAATTTCACTAGCAAAGTATACATTTTTAAAAATTATTTGAAAATTATATTACCTTAGAAATTAAAATATGAAATTTGTTTCTTGTGCTCATAATATTTTGTTGGTATTGTTCTTGCAAGTCTTGCATTAAATCAGCTTGGCTTTTTATTTCTCTTGTTAAAGTATCATTCTTTTCTGATAGAACTTGCATATTTTCATTTAACGAAAGTAATTTAGTTTCAAATTCTCTTATATCTACAGCCATTTTCTCTAGCGGTTTCTTTTTACTGGATTCTCTTTCCTCTAGGATTTCAATTTCTTTATTCAGTTCATTTATTTTGTTTTCTTGTTCATTCAAATGTTTTCTTATGTTTTTAAAGTTAAGCTTTTGTTTCTTAGATAATTTTTCAATTTTAATCGCTACATCATTTTGCACAGTTGCAGCTTTGTCTATCCATTCCCTTAATTCAATAAAGTTATTTTCAGTCTTTTGTTTCGTGTCTTGTAGATCCGATACAAGAGATTCAACGTGTTCAAGACGGCAGATAAATTCTGGATAAATTAAAATGCAGATGAAAAAAATAAACAGCTAAGAAACTAGGTAACAACTACATGAAAACGTAGTTAAAGCCGAATTTGTGTTGTAGCGTTGATTAGATACATAAATAGAATCAAAATTAAAAAAAAGATTTTTTTCGAAGCTTACATTTGTTACATTTTTACAAAGTTAGAATTTTTCAACCAACCAGAAACGCTGTCTTTAGCTGTTTGCTCAGCTTCTGTTTTTCTTTCCGGTAGTGTCGTTTTACTGGTCATTATTTTTCAGGGTAAATTTGTTTGATTTCTATTTGAATGTTAATCAAAGAAGTAACAAACAGTCTATGGTTAAACTAAAATAATTGCCAATTAGTTTGATAATTATTTTATAGATATTGATCGTTTTATAAACAAAGTAAACTAAAATAGTATTGCACATCCTTTTCCGAATTGGGGGTTATAAAACTAATTTTAATATAAATAAAATAAATAGTCTATACGTTTTGATATAATTATATCAACAATATTTCTAGATTGTGAACTTTAGTAAATTATGTACGAAATAAAAGACTATACCAGCTAACATGTCCACATGTTCCAGTACTGTATTTTGTGCTGTTGTCACCATCACGATCGCATCTTTGACTGTCATTGTAGTGCCAGATGTGCTGACAAGACATTCCATGGCCTTTGTTTTAATCTACACATATGATTCATTACAATGGTTCCGATTATAAGATGGAGCATTGAATTTAAAATTACCTTGCAATGTACAATGGTTTTCAAAGATGACTATTTCATCATTTATAACGCAAAATAAATATAAATTGTGTAATAGAGTTTGCTATAAAAGTAATTATAAATCTCCCCTTTCAGACCTAAAGATCCATAACAAACGAATGTAATGTCAGTGCTATGCTCAGTCGGCTCTACTGTCCCCAACGTGAGTCAGGTACCCATCAGAAAAATTAATTGTAATATATTCAAACTGATTTTAAAATAATTGCTAGACAACATTACCATTGTTAGGTTGAGAATACAAGTAAATATATATTTATTTACTAAATATACTAGTGCAATTTAAAAACCAATTCAATTCATACTATATTAATTATTTTTAATAATTTAAATTACGTTTTTTTCAGTTACAAAGTAAAAGATATTGGACAGCAATTTTAGTTCTAACCTGCCTCTGGAAATCAGTGATGTAACTCTGAAGATGAAAACACGACTCTTCAAACAGCTCGAGTTGAGAGCTTAGAAGTTTCTTGGAGTGTTGCGACATCTACATAAAAACAGTCTTTGTTTCGTTTTATACCATGTCATATTTCAATTTAGAAAGTTTTTAATGTTATATAACAGAAAAAATGTCGAGTCTATCAGATATTTGAAATTTAGATATTTCAGATAAGAATATCGAATTATCGTAATATACTTCACTAAATACATTATTTTAGTATCTCTATGTTTTTACTGTTATACAATTGCAGCTTATGTGGTGACAATTTGACAGCTATCTTTATTTAGAGCTACATAAAATGTGTTTATATAATATTTTATGTTTTCACATCAAGCAAATCAAAATATTTTTAAGCGATTAATATTTTCATACGAATGTTTTACAGATTGAAATGCATACACCTGCTTTATTTACACTTGTAAGCTTTATAAGTAGCACATGTTAAATAAGATAAAATCATATTACTTTCTACTTACTGTAAACTTAGCGACTCCTATTTTTAAAATGGAAATTTAAACTCTTCTTATCAAGGCAGAAAACTTTTATAGCTGGTTGGATTGCTTGTAATGTAGATCTCGTAAGTTACACATACCTGAGTTATAGTACTAAACTTGGAACACGTCTTAAAAATCGAAAGCCGTTTATCGATTAAGCAAGATATTGATTTTTAAAAGGTACGTCAAACTGTGGAACTGAAGAATAAAACTTAAAGTTAAATTGAAAATATGATTCATTATTGACTATGTAAGTTTCAATTTCAAAAGAACCTTGCTCAATGTGTACATAGAATCAAAGCCTATCATAGAAGTTCCACTATACTTTTATTTAAAATACACTAAACATCCATATAAAACATATTGAACAATAATTTTTTTGTCTGAGTATTGTGAAAGAGAGAAAAAAACGTTCTTGGGTTACTGTTGTAATAGTTAACCTTTGCTATCATGTTTGTTTTAATGTCGTTGTACTAGTTACCCTGTGGTATCGTGTTTTGATTTATGTTGTAGTAGTTAAAACCTGAGCTATCGTGTTTGTGATAATGTTGTTGTATTAGTTAACATGTGCTATTGTGTTTCGATTAAAGTTGTTGTACTAGTTACCCTTTGCTATCATGTTTGGGTTAATGTTGTTGTATTAGTTAACCTTCGCTATCATGTTTGTGTTAATGTTGTTGTACTCGTTAGCATGTGTTATCTTTCCTGCTCTTACAGTCTCACCTCATCAATCGACCAAAGAATTTAACAAACAAATTCGACATATTATAACAGTTAAAAAATACAAGTTTCTCGTGTTTCAGTCATAATTTCTGTTTTAGATGTTTTATTTTATTCGAAAAACAAATCGAAACAAATCATTTGAATTAATTAAATGGTAAATATTTGTATTTCACGTAGTTAACACGCTAAAAATGGCACTTAAATTTCATTCATTAAGTTTGACTGTCAAGAAATAATCAACAATAGCTAGCCAGGTTTGATAACGTGGAAAACAATATTGCATTTCATGAAAAGAAAAAAAAATCGATTAAAAGAAAAATAAATCGGAATGGAAAAAGATATTGCAAACTATGATCACAAATCATTCATAAAATTACAAGACGTTGAAAAAAATCAAGACAAAATATCAAAGAAAAAAAACCCAACAAAATCAGTAGAATGAAACGAACGTACGTCAAGAGAAGAGTTTAGAAGACTTGGTTCGAATATTGGACGTAATAAAGTAGGATGAGAAAAAGATGTGATATTACGAAAGTTATTAATAAATGGTATATCCATTACAGCATAGTGCAAGTATGGGTTTGAGAGAATTTAATATTTGCTTTATTTCTTGCGCAAACTATGAGACCTTGTGTAGTTGGGTTTGTGGCGGTGAGAATAGGATGACGCGTAGCGGGGGGGGGGGGGGGTGGGTGACACCATTTAGGGGGGTGACACCAAGGCAAAAAAAAGAGTAAAATATAGAGAGAAAAATTTGAGGGCGGGGGTGCAAATCGAAAGTTCGAGAGGGGGGGGGGGTGCAAATCGAAAGTTTGAGGGGGGATGCAAATCAAAAATTGAAAGTTTGTCCCCGGGAAGAGTCGCTACGCCTCTTCGGGGTGACACCATTAAGTGCCGCACCGGGTGACACCCAACCTCGCTACGCCACTGGGATAACGTAACAGACAAGGCAAAAAAATGCTAGTCTGTAGACAAGGATAAGATAGGAACAATTTGTTTTTAGTTTTGGTAGTACACCAAAATGATGGTCAGTAGCGCAAAGTAGAGTTAACCTGTTTCTGCGACCTCCTCGTGTAGAGCTATAGTTAGTCAATTTGTATACCTATTGGAATAGTCAGAGAGATAATATTAATTAACCAAACAATCACACTCATTCAATTGTTTTCATAGGATCAAAGTGTAAATCAATTCTATTCTTAACGCAGTTCAATCGCGTATATTTGGATTTAAATATTTCGACAAACATTTTAGTTTAAGCCCTTGTATGTGTTTGTATATTCTATATAAGTTTGTGTGTGTGAGTGTGTTGGGTTAATCTATACGTAATAAAGAATTACAGCAGATACTTTGTATGGATTTTTATTAAGGTAATGCATTTGAATTTTTATCGCTTTAATTTTATACTTCTATACTATTATTAAAAGTTAAAAATGAATTAGGATGAAATAAACATTAGTTACATTAAACTTTACTGCATCTGCAATTAACTTGTTAAAACAGTTGTTTCATTTATTAGGCAAATAATATAGCAACTGAATACTTACGAGTGTTGGTTTAGAAAAATATGTCCAGACTATAAAATAAGTCTTGAAATCACAATTAACAAACAACAGTTAATTATACAAAGTGTAAAACATCGAAATGTATGTTTTAATGAATCAACATCATAGAAACAGTAATTTAATGAATGCAAGATGATTCGTTTATGTCTGTGTTATGTAAATTGTCATAATATAACGCCATAAATTCAATCTATTGGCAACAACAGAGCAGCTATTCTACGTTTTATTCACGTGTGAAGTACTTTATAAACCACAGCTATATAAAAGAATGCTAGGGTAAACAGATACATCATTGAGTTGTGTTGTGAACACGGACATGCCTTTACATTTTTAATTATACTCAAAATAATTGAAAGTGTGTATTTACATGTTCAAATGTTGTAAAGATCAATTTTATTTTTTATCGAAATATAGCAAGTTTTCTTTTATAAACAAGCCCGGAAATAATAAAATATATCATTTAATTACATAAGCATACTGATTGTAACTATGTTCCTAGTAGGAAACAAGAAAAATGTGTACAATCAAAACGATTATCAACACTACATGAAAATATTTCATCCCCAGTTTTCATCCAAACCCCAGTTGTACTTGAAGCTGCATCTAAGATTTCCTTTGTCTCAATACGAACGGATTCTGATACAGTATCTCCAGATTTGTGCATTATCCAGACTTTTGCACCTTTATTTCCTATTTTCTTTATTCGTAGACTCACTATATACATGCCATCAACAGGGGCTGTAAACACTCCCGTGTTTGGATTAAAATATTTTTCTTTGTTATGTTCTAC